TCTTAATACTTTTCTAATTGCCTTAGAGGACAGCAAATGTACAACTCATCCTCTGACAGTCCTGTATATGTTAACTCAACTGCTGTTCTCAGATTGTAACAAACCACATCACATGAGCATGAACTTGCTAATGTTCAGCAAGTAAAACTCATGCTCTAGGCTTTCTATAGTGTACTGATTATACAAACCCAGGAAAGGGTATTTATTGTTTCTACTAACTAAAACTTTATAACAAACTCTTTAAAAACTAAGCAAACAAAAAAGCATGTTGCTGGGCCGGCGAGATGATTCAGTGGGTAAAGGTGCTTGCTGCCAAGCCTGACAACCTGAATTTGATCTCTGGGATCCACACAGTGGAAGGAGAGAACTCCCAAAAGTTGTCCTCTGCATGTGTTCTCTGCACACGTACAAATAAATATGCAATTAAATGGTTTAAAAATAAAAAACATGCCACCCAAATGAACAGAGAGCGTGCACTAAAAATCCTCACTCTGAACTCTGCCCCTGGACATGGTCTGGAGCCCTGATTTCAGACATCAAGATTACAAACAGACTAATCCTTTTATTAATTAGAACGTCTATTGGCTTATGAAGATTTAAAGCCCCAGTATTGGGGCGGTGGGAATCACTAGGGTTCTGAAAAAGAATCTGTTCTGCTACATAGTCAGAATTTCTAGAACATCGTTAGCTCCCATGTGACCGGTTCTGTAATGTTTCACATGGAATTTTTTTCATCATTTAGTGAAGCCAGATTAGTGGGTAAAAAGTGACAATCTTCAGCAAAAAAACCTCTCAGCTCAGCTGCGGCACAGGCAGAAGTCCTCTGAAATCATTTTCAGGCTGAGACTGATGGCACTGCATCCCTCACAGCTTCAGTGGCAGCCTTAGCTCCCTGGCAGATGCCAGTATCTCCACTGAACGGGTGCATGCATTTCTAATGTCCCCTGGGGTGGCTTCCAGCCAGTGAGCTGCATACTTCAGCTACCCAAGTTGCCCCCCAAGATAACAATTACTCTTTCTGTTAGGGCTGCTTAAGGTGCACAGGTTTCCAGTGGTCTGCCTCAATACAACAAACTCTTTTAGGAATTTTTCAGGAGAATACATAATGCATGCTAGTCAAAATTTTATAAGGGAGTCTGGCCTGGTGATGCACACCCATAATCCCAGCACTCAGAAGGCAGAGGCCGGGGTCTACACATCAATACTGAGCTCCAGGCTAGCAGGCTAAAAAATAAGGCAGGTGAGGTAGCGCATACAGTAATAGTAATAACAAATAATAAGTCTTTCTAATATTCTATTAACTATTTTGAGCATTCCAACTTATGGAAATACATACATTCTATCAAGTAGATCTGAAACATAGCTTTGAATTATGAAATGTGAGCACCCAGCTGGTCTGGAACTTGCCATATAGACCAGGCCTTGAACTCACAGAGATCCACCTGCCTCTGCCTCCCAAGCGCTGGGATTAAAGGCATATGCCACGACACCCAGCTCCAGAGTTTTTTGTTTCTTGTTTAATTTTGAAGAATCTGACTTAGCTGATCTCAGAAGGGCCATAAACATTACAGGCCTAGCAGGATCACAAAGTCTGTAAAAACAGAAGAAAGACAAACAACAGGTCCCTCCGTCACTGCTAGTGACCAAGCACCACTCAGCCTAAAACACTGGGCTACAGACAGTGGACAGTTCAGCCACAACCTCCCTAGATCTTCTTAAGCCTAATTTTCATTACCTTACACTTACTGAAGAAAAAGTTACAATAGCCTAAGGTGAACGGCTAAGAAACCGCCCAGCATTCCCAGCCAAACATAAGGCAGTGTAAGTCAGGCTGCAGCTGCTCCCTGCAGAGCTCAGAGGGGCTGGAGATGGCTCAGAAGTTAAGAACACCAGCTGCTTGGGGCTGGAGAAATGGCTCAGCAGTTAAGAACACTGACTGTCCTTGCAGAAGATCAGGTTCAAATCTCAGCACCCACATAGCAGTTAACAACTGTCCATAACTCCAGTCCCAGGGGATCTGACAGTCTCTTCTGTCTCCACAAGCACTGCACGACATGGTTGCACTTACCAACATGCAGGCAATACACACACATACACAAAAAAATAAAAATAATAAAATATTTTAAAAATAAAGAGCACCAGCTGCTCTTGCAGAGGACCCAGGTCCAGTTCCCAGCACCTATATGGCAGCTAACAACTGTCTGTAACTCTAGCTCTAGGGGATCTGATGCCCTCTTCTGGCCCCTGCCAGCATTGCACACTACCAGTGCACTACCTACATATAAGCAATACACTCATACATAAAATAAAAATAGTAAAAATTTTTTTTGAAAAAAGCTCATCCTGCTGGGCGTGGTGGCGTACGCCTGTAGTCCCAGCACTTGGGAGGCAGAGGCAGGCGGATCTCTGTGAGTTCAAGGCCAGCCTGGTCTACATGGTGAGTTCCAGGGCAGCTGGGGCTACAGGGAGATCCTGTCTCAAAAAGACCGAAAAAAAAAAAAAAAAAACCTCATCCTAGAGGTGACAAGACAAGCTCCCAGGAAGTTAGGACAGTTTACTCACAATCCAGTCAGAGCTCCGCTTCCCCAGTGCTTCTGAGCACTGTCCCCACACAACCAGTTCTTCCCATCCTCCTCAGGCTTTTTCCACTTTTTCTTCCTTAATCTCATAACCATCCATTTCCCCCAGGATATAAAGAACCTCTACTGCAGCAAAGAAAGGGATAACCAACTTGGGTTACACTTTCATACAGATAACACATTTATGGCACAGCACCAAGCCTCACCTATTTATCCATTTAAAGGGAGAAGGAAGGTTAATTTAAAGGTGTTTAAATTAACACAATTTTGTTTGGTTTGGTTTTGGTTTCTTTTTCCTTTTTTTTTTTTTTTTTTTTTTTTTTTTTTTTTGTCTTTTTGAGACATGGTTTCTCTATAGCTCCAGCTGGCCTGGAACTCACAGAAATCTACCTGCCTCTGCCTCCTAAGTGTTGGGATTAAAGGCATGTGCCACCAGGCCCAGCTCTACTGAGGCATACCATTTCCCTTCCTATCACTCCATCTTCAAATCAGCCTGATAGTGATAGGACACCATCACTACAATAGAACACAGAAAAATCTTAACACTGCTGACACTGTAGCCTTTCTCCACATGCCAACAAACGTTTCTAAGTGTAAAAATCTATATTGTGCCTTACAGTCAACCTTTAAAGAGTTTCAATTTATTCCAACATTGTTTCTTTTTCCTTTGAGTTTTGCTGTGTAACTTTGACTGGCCTGGTACTCATTATGTACTATGTAGCCCAGGCTAGCCTTGAGCTCTAGGCAACACTCCACTGTCTGTAGCCCAGTGTTTTAGGCTGAGTGGTGCTTGGTCACTAGCAGTGACGGAGGGACCTGTTGTTTGTCTTTCTTCTGTTTTTACAGACTTTGTGATCCTGCTAGGCCTGTAATGTTTATGGCCCTTCTGAGATCAGCTAAGTCAGATTCTTCAAAATTAAACAAGAAACAAAAAACTCTGGAGCTGGGTGTCGTGGCATATGCCTTTAATCCCAGCGCTTGGGAGGCAGAGGCAGGCGGATCTCTGTGAGTTCAAGGCCTGGTCTATATGGCAAGTTCCAGACCAGCTGGGTGCTCACATTTCATAATTCAAAGCTATGTTTCAGATCTACTTGATAGAATGTATGTATTTCCATAAGTTGGAATGCTCAAAATAGTTAATAGGATCACAGGCATGCCCTACCACACCTGGTTTTCATTATTGTTATGGGGGGGGGTTGCCAATATTGACTGTAGTAAGACACTTTTGAGTCAAGATAACCTGATGCTATTGAGAAATTTCAATTATTCATGCATTTAAATATACATTTTGCAAGACATGACCACATAAGCCCTGACCTACAGAAGCCAAAGACCAAAATGCAAGTACTAATAAATGACGTAGGAAATCAGAGCAAACTTTATATTCAGAAACCCAAAATATGCATTCTGGGTATTAAAGTATAGGATATGAAAGGAGAGTCAACAGTAATTAGTAAGTTGTCTTTCAAGCAGTTAAAAATCCTTCAAAAGTACTGAAACAGAAAACTTCACTACAAACAAGGTCAAGTTTTCTCAACACCAGTTTAGAATGAATCCTAACCTCAGCCAGTCACTGAAATGCAACACTGCATTTGGGAAGTTGTTTCTAAGAAAGCTATTCACACTAAACCACAACAAGTTGAGCCTGGATGAAATAAACAGGTAATGCGAAATATTCCGTTTCTATTAAGGGTAGAGGGGGAGAGGAAGGGACAAAGAGTTCATTATTAGTATTTGGTCTACAAGAATAATATCAAAGGGTATCAGCAAAGACATCCGGAGACAAACATTACAGACTCCTTCACAACCTTAAGTTAGTCATTGGGGCTGTGAAAGTTAGACGAAGGTAAGAACGTGCAAAGTACTCAGCACAGTTATCACTCAACAGTCCTTAGCAAAAATATATTAAGTATACACCAAAGCACAGTTTGAAAGTCCATCTACAGCTAACCACAAATTCCTTCCCGGGTACAGCTTGTACCTACGGTCATAAATAAAACACACTTTTTTAAAACTGCCACTTTGAAGACCAAAAGGCCTGCCAGTAACTTATAAACCGCTTTCAAAAACTGTATCGGAGTGTCACAACCATATATATACTCAGAACCTGGTGAAAACCTGATGAATGGGGTAGACGCCTCTCGCCCCAAAGCCAATCAAATCAGGGACAGCTAAAGGTCGAAGCCGTCCAAGTCAGGGGCGATTAGCTCCAACGGCGCACCCTGGCCTCCGACAAGAACCGGGGACAGAAAGCAAAGGCTGCCGCGGCCGCTTCCAAGGACGCAGGGGTCGACCTCGGGTAAGCGGCAGGCACCGGACCCTCCTCTCGGCCGGGGGGACCGCGCCCCAGCACCCGACCTCGCTCCCACGTCCCCGGGCCCGACCCCCGCCCCTCCGCGCCCCCCAGGCCCCGCAGGATACTGAACACGGTCCGCTCCCAGGGCTCCAGCATGTAGAGAGCCGTGACCAGCAGGTACTGGTAGTAGAACCAGGACATCTGCTTCCAGGCCCGCGCCAGCGCCATGCCCGCCATGCGCCTCCCGTGATGCAGCAGCGTCAGCCGAGCTCGCGGCCCGTTCCCGTCCTAACGCCCCAGGCCTCGGGGCCCGCCCGCCGCCACCCCGCGCCCATTGGCCCGGCCGGCCCTCGCGTCACCGTGCACGCCCAGCCCCGCGCGCGCCCGAGCCGCCGTCGCCAGCTCCCCCACCGCCGCAGCTCGTCAGCCAACCCTCCACTTCGCGCCCCGCGCCACGCCCCGAGTCCCCGCCCCGCACATGTAAAAGTGATGCAGCTTTTTCCTCCCTCCCCCCACCTATGTGGCACACCCACGTAGGTCAACACACCCTCCTGTACGCCTCAACCTAAAGGCGGGAGCAGACCATAAGCCTCTGCCCACCTCTTGGTAGCTCTAAGGATGGAGTGGGTAGGTCACAGCCAAGAAAAACACGCTTATCTAGTGTGCTCTACAGACAGTTTGAGGTCTGACTGTGGGCTGGTGCCAGGTCCTAGAGATGCACTCCTAAGATTCTCCTACCTGCAAATGTGCCAGCATGTCACTCTCCTAGGGAAGTCCATGCACTGTCAGCGGATGAAATCGCACAATTGAATGGCAGCGATTCAAATGTTGAAGAGTTTCTAGCCTACCCTTTAAACTTTAAAACTTTCATAGCTAGTTGATAACTATTAATTTAGAAATAGCAAGCGTTCCTTATGAGCAAGACCTTAGAAATAACAGTAGACTGAGACCTGCTTTGATAAAGTACCCGGGCTGCTAGGGAAGGCAGGCACGTTGACTACAGAGAGAAGTGTGATAAAGGGTGTCTGTGTTGCCTGGCGTGGAGGCGGAGGCCTGTAATCCCAGTATTGGGGAGGCAGAGGCAGGCTGAGCTCTGTGGGGTCAAGGCCAGCCAGGTCTACATGGTGAGTTCCAGGCCAGCTTGGGCTACAGGGAGACCCTGTCTCAAAACCTGAAGAAATAGGAATGGAAACATGAATGGGTTTGGAGAAACACAGAGGCATAGCACTCCCATACAAAAGTTTGGTATTTGGTTCCAGGGCTAAGGGCCCTAGGTCCAGAGAGCGCAAGCCCTATAACTCATTCTCAGATCTTTTGATGGGATTGTTTGTTTTTGGAGATGGGGTCCCAACTGTGTAGTGCTGAGATTTCAGGTCTAGATCACCAGGCCTAGCCAAGTTTACCTTTCAAATATATGTTAGTAAAAAGTAAGCTCAGAAACCAAGCTGGAACTGAGCTGTAAATTTCCTCCATGCTTGTTGGCTCTCATAGTGCAAGCTGCTGAGGGAGAAAAGAGCAGTCCTACCCAGTTGTGAACCCTGAGAGCTACAATACCAACCTGCCTGGCAAGATGTGCCCACTGGCACAATAATGGCTTGCCTGTTGTGGAGATGACCAACTGCTTTCTGACTGGATTTGACATCGGCTCCACAAGAGAGAATTCATGTAAACTTGGCCAAAAGCCCTTGGTTGGGTAGGTCATAGGCCCTGAGGGCAAGAGGACCTACTACAGAGATTTGCTAACTAGACTTGTCAAACTGCCTCTTAAATAACTGTATTTTTACCCATTGCTTAGTGCTGCCCTCAACCTTGATCAAAGAAGCTTCAGTTTGCAGGGAGTGACAGTTAATGCAGTGATTCATTACTGGTCAATGTGCTGAGAGTGACTATTGAATGTTCAGCCCCAAATGAGACATATGTATCACTCCCTCGAAGGGATGTAGGAGCTGGGGGATGGGAAGGAATGGTGTGAAACACTGTCCTCTGAACCTGACATGGCTGTTGTACCCATGAACTCCCAGTAGCAGTGTTTACTTGCATAATACTGGGCCTATCAACATTCCATTGTGGATAGGGGAGGTACTTTTAAGGCCCCACCCCTCCCTAAGGAGCCATAGGCAGCTAATGGCTGCTGCAAGTGGGGAATTAGTCTTCACTGGTATAGACACTGGTGAATTGTCCTTGCTCAAGTAAGTAAGTCCCCACCCAGGCTCATGCAGACAACCCTAATTTACTTGCATAATACTGGGCCTATCAACATTCCATTGTGGATAGGGGAGGTACTTTTAAGGCCCCACCCCTCCCTAAGGAGCCATAGGCAGCTAATGGCTGCTGCAAGTGGGGAATTAGTCTTCACTGGTATAGACACTGGTGAATTGTCCTTGCTCAAGTAAGTAAGTCCCCACCCAGGCTCATGCAGACAACCCTAATTAATGCAGTGGGACACACACACACACACACACACACGACATGA